GAAAAAAGTCGTGTCTTTTTCGGCGCTATTTTTTATGTGTACACTAATGTGGATAACAGAGAAAGAGCTAGAGCGAGTTATTGAAAATTCGTTGGAAGAAAAACATGGAAATTCAAAGCGGCGGTGAGAAAATGAGAAATGCTAGCAGCCAGCAAGGTGAAAATGAGCATCAGTGAAAAATAAAAGCGAACATGAACACTGGAAACAAAATATTGGGTAAGCACAAACGACAATTTCTCCATAAAAATAGTGTGTAACTAGGAAGTTTGACGTTTTAGTCGTACAAAACAGTGTTGTAGTCGTGTAAAACAACGGCAAGGGAAAGACAAAAAAGCGTGCTGCACCAGCAAATTTGCTTTTTCCTACTTAGAAGAAAAAGTGTGCTGCACGTGCAATTTGTGTTTTTTTTGCTAATTAGATCTATTAGTCTTGAAGCCATTTTCATTGTCGTCCCCCGTTTGGCGTTACACGATTTAATTTTTTTTGTTTACACGTATTATTAACCAGAGCTTCGCTTTTAGCCCTGGCTAAATCTATATATTAGGATATAATGACAATATTTTTTGAAAGATAAGCTTAATGGTAAGCTCAAGGGAGGTTCAACAAAATCGAACAGTACGTCAGCTGACAGCAGATGACAGTAACTTTGGGTCCCTTTTCGAAAGCAATCTACAAAAACTCCTGTCCTACATATCCTTCCACCTAAAGATGAATTAAAGCTCAGAGTTATATTTAGCTTTAAAAGCATTAGATGAACATTTTACCTTACAGAGGGGTACAGAGGTGTACGAACATAGTACAGTTTTCTTGCACATCGACTACACATGGCTGCCATCTTGATCCAAGTGAGCCCGCGATCTGAGATACTGCTGACTGGCCACCAACTCTCTTCTCTTTGTTATATAACGCCTGTCGTTTTTTAGCAAAAGACAAATTGAAATTTCCTTGCCTCAATTACATGGAGGTTTGCATAGACTCTGTAGAAGCAGCCCTGAACGCCGAAAAAGGCGGTAAGTTTTGGGTCTATAAATTGCATTCTTTGTAAATCGCAAAAGTCGTAAGACTAGAAATCTGTCAAACGTGCATGTCTGCAGATTTATCCTAGTGTTGTGTCTGATCGCATTTAAAACGCATTTTTGACTTTCTGATTAAAGTAGCATTACTATAAACCTACTCTAACAAATCTAGATTTATAAGCTGAGATCTTATGCATCAGTCAATTCCAGCTGTGCCTATGCGCCCCCCTGGCTAACCTCCGGGCATTAGCATTTTGTTGCCGAATTCCAGGGTGCTGGGACAATTTAGCTTTCAAATGCCCCGTGGTGGGAATGAAAAATGAGAGCAAATAAGGGTGGCAAAAGGGTTTGCCATGATGTGTGATGGGACCCAAATTATCAGTGTCATGCATGATCTGGCCCAAATTAGCCTCGTGAGGTGTGTTTAGGCATAGCAGTGTGCTGCATGATTTACTTTTTTCACAACATGTGACGCGTGCTTTTCCTTTGAAATTTTTGTGATGGTTAATATCATTTTAAACTAGAAGCAGGGACGTCAAAAATACATAGTTATAACACCAACTTCTTGCCCTTTTTCTCGTTCCTCGACCTCTGATTTCCTCAGATCAATTGATAATAGAACACTTGTTCATGTAGTTAATATTTTACTTTATTTTTCAATGGTGCATGATAGCTTAAAAAAAATTGGCGTGATGCGTGATAGGTACCCTCCCCCCCTTTGCCACCCTGGCAAATGCCCTGCCCTCAGTCAATACTGCAGCAGTTTTCCTTAGTCACACACAGTCGAGTAGTGGGCCATTTAAAGCACAGGAGGCCTGACTCTGTGGGAGTTCGTTTGCCTTCGCCCAGGAGCAGGCACAGTGTATCCCGAGTAGCATGGTGGGAGGGTCCTTTGGTCCATTTGACCGTGACAAAGCGTGCCAAAACATCACACCAGCGCCTAGCTATTTGCACAACTCTGTCTGCAGTTTGCTTGCACAAAAAAATTGCACAAGCAAATTGCAGACAGAGTCTGATTGGCCTAAAACAATATTGTATTTTAGCTTTATCTAAAATGCCTACATATACTGTAAATTACAATTTCCACGTTAACAAAAAATTGCATGAGGTCATGTCTAATAGCTTCTAAAACGTGTAGTAGTGGAGGAGTAGAAGACCTCAAAAATGTTAAGAAAATGTTGTACACTTTTTCATTCAATCTTNTATCCCGAGTAGCATGGTGGGAGGGTCCTTTGGTCCATTTGACCGTGACAAAGCGTGCCAAAACATCACACCAGCGCCTAGCTATTTGCACAACTCTGTCTGCAGTTTGCTCGCACAAAAAAATTGCACAAGCAAATTGCAGACAGAGTCTGATTGGCCTAAAACAATATTGTATTTTAGCTTTATCTAAAATGCCTACATATACTGCAAATTACAATTTCCACGTTAACAAAAAATTGCATGAGGTCATGTCTAATAGCTTCTAAAACGTGTAGTAGTGGAGGAGTAGAAGACCTCAAAAATGTTAAGAAAATGTTGTACACTTTTTCATTCAATCTTTCATGTGCAGGTGCAGTCAGGGTGGAACTCTGCTCAAATCTAATGGAAGGTGGAACAACTCCATCTTTAGGCAGGTGAACTTTCTAACATTATCCAGCATATTAGAAGTTAAGGTGTGACTATAAATCTCTGTTGTCTTTGGGTGACTAGGAAACCTTTAGCCTTTACACTTTCCCTGCTCTTTGTATTGGGCACACTGCATTTATAGGTTCAGAGCTTATTGGCTGCTTAATTTTTGAGAGCACAGCCTTTTTGAAAAGCATAACAAAATAGTGAAATGGCTAGAAATGGGTTAAGGATGTATACCTTTTTCCTTGCTCATACTGGGAGGCCACTGGTCACAAACTGCAGGTACTACCCACACTCATCTTATAATTTGCTCTACCTTTATATAAGTAATAAATTATAGATATGTACCAGTAGTTTTTATTTTATTTCCATAATTTTTCTTTCTTTTTTCTGCATAATAGGAATGTTTAAAATCATCAAAGAGAAATCACCAATTCCAGTGTTTGTGATGATCAGACCAAGAGGTGGAGACTTTCTTTACTCAGCAGCGGAGTTTGAGGTTATGAAACAAGATTTGAAATTATTCAAGGAGGCTGGGGCAAATGGTGTTGTATTTGGGATTCTCACAAGGTGTTGTGACTTTAATATAATTCTCATAATAATAATAATTATTTTATGTCACTTCCACTTCTGACACTTCCATGATGACTAGAGATCAATTTTTGCTGGTTTAGGAGCTTCTGGAGAAGTCTGAATACAGTTAATAATAACGTTAATCACAATAAATTATGTTAGTTACGTTGTATTAATTTTATTATCACATATTATTATGTCTCTACATATACACTGTAACTTGATATGTGTTTTTCTTCAGTCATGGTGAGGTGGATATCTCAAGATGCAAGGAACTCAAAGGTTGGCATACTATTTAAGAAAAAGATGTAACTATCACAATGTCATCACCAGCATACAGGAACAAAAAAATTTCTTGACTCTTTCACTGGTAATAGTCATCCACAGATTTAAAAGTTAGAATGACAGAGTCACATTTAACTTGAAGCAATGATCTATCTCCCAAAGACTGGTTGGATGCTCTTCCAATATGGAGCTATGGAGAAAACAAGAAGGGCAATTAAACTAGGTCAGGCAGTCTGCATACTGTTGTATAGTGAAGCCTGTTCTTTAGTACTACCTGATTGCATAATGTTTTTGAAAAAAAAAAAGTGTTTTATCGCATAAAAATTATAAAAACTTTCATACTGAACAAACTGAATTTTTTCTTCACAGAGCTAGCAAGTCCATTGCCAATGACTTTCCATAGAGGTACATTTAATTATTTATGTATTTAGCACTTATTGGACTACTTTACCTGCCCTGCAAAATGGGCATCCAATGACATATTAGTTCAATTTAAACATTTACCTTAGATTATTTGAATTACAGTAAGATTACTTGATATGCCTTTCGGTATTTTCAGAAGAAAAAGAGATGTTTTCTAGAGCAGGTTTTCCACGGCAAGTTTCCTTTTCTCTTTTTTTGGTAATTTAGGTGGAAAATGTGACAAGTTTTTCCTTGGAAAGGAAAAGCACGGCCAATTTTTTTTCCTCCTTAGTTGTCAAATGGTACCACTTATTAAGGAGCTATTCCTAAAGGCCCGGCCAAACGAGTTTAAGATTTTCCTACACTAAAAGCGCTTTTTCCACTGGTGTCGACAGATTTTCCTTAAGTTATCCATGTCAAAAGTTGAAAAAACCTTGAAAAGGTCTATTTAACATTAGTTAACTTACGCAACTGTACGGGAGAGGAAAGAAGACGGCAAACCTTGTGTGAAAAGCGTGACAATAATGTTGTTTGAAATAACTTTTCGCCAAACTTAACTTTCCCTCTAAACATACCTTTTTGTAAAAGACCAGAAACATTAATGTTAAGTGTGGCCTGCGTACAAGCGTTCCGCGCGAGCTCGTCGAGAAAGTTGGGATGAGAGCTCTAACTTTCGCGCAATAACTCGATTGGAATAACGCTTGCTACGCAGGCTATGTTAAGTGAAGATCACGACAAAAAACGCTATTAATAGCCCTGTCCTGTTTGTCACGCACAAGTGTTTTGCCATCTTCTTCTTCCTGCCGTCCTGTTGCGTAAACCAGCTACTGTTGAATTTTATAGGGTTGAACTCGGTAGCCAAACGAGTTCAAAATTGTCGAACTTTTTGAGTCGGTTATTTATGCAAGGATTTTCATTATCTGTTGGGACACGTGTTCAGGGCGTGGTCAGTACTCTTGACAACGCCTCCTGCAACTTGTCTGGCCACAAAATTGTGTGGGAAGTTGCAAGATAAATTAGCTGGTGTAACAGGACGGCGACGGTAACGTGCGTGTAAGCATCGAAAAAGCAATGTTTTTAATGAGCAAAACAAACCTCACCAAGTGCATTATACTTTTTGTTACATTTATTTTTCTCTGTCGTCACTGCACAACTACTATAGTAAGCCAGCACATGCAGATGTGTTTCCGGTCGTCGCCTCTGTCCAAATACGCATGCGTTCGCAGGCTACGACTTGTCGACTTTAATTGTCGACTACGACATGAATTTGCCTGCCCGTACGTTAGCACAAAGGCGCTAACCTGCATGGGGTGGGAAATCGGGAGGAAGGGGTGTACATGTATATATGCTCTTAACAGTGTTAAAATTAAGTTTTACAATTTGCTGTGTCATGATTTTTGAATTTACAGCATTTGACATGGTAAAGGATCCCTACACGTCATTAGAGATTATCATTAACTTGGGTTTTGAACGTATTTTGACTAGTGGACAGGACTCTTCAGCGTTGGAAGGATTACCAACCATAAAATATCTTATTGAAAAGGTAAAAATGCGCTTTCCATTTCATGGTCTTTCTTCGCAGATAAAATTAATAGCTTGCAATTTTGGCAGCTACTTAAGGGAGTATCACGAAAGTTAGGTAATTTTGGACAGTGAAAACTTGCTACCATATTGAGCGATACATAAAAACCGCTCATAACACAGCAAAAACAAAAGAAGGCAGGGTGGACAAATTGAAGGAAGTTAAAAAGACTGAAGTACAATCGAAGTTTTAGGGAAGTTGTTACACAAATGACACTTTTTACTTAAAATCGATCGCTGCTAAGTACACATAGAAGTCCACACAAGCTACAGTGTCTCAAGTATTTTCACAACTGGTTGTAGCAAATGGGGAATGTTATTGTGGGCGACAAGAGAAGCCCGCAATCCTAATCTCCAGGTTGCTATTACGCATGCTTGGCAAGTATGTAGTAAGCTTCGTTTGGACTTCCACTAAGAATGAATGGAATGTACAGAACGCAATCTGATCACGCGCTTTTGGACCTTCTGTCACTCGTTATGTGATCACGCGTGTTTTGACCATCTATTACGTGAAATTTAAGCAAAGTACAGCGTTGGAGCAAAGGCGTTTTGACCTTGGATCGTTGTCGCCCAGTTTTTACTAGTTCTTTATGTTACCTTAGTTGTGGCTATTTAATAGTTGGACCTCTTATTTACAAGAGTAGATTGAATTTCAGTAATCAACAGTTTTATATTAAAATTTCACCTCCCGTGGGCTAGTTTCAATCCCACAATTCAAAAAGCGTTTTCGCTTGTTCTTTCAATGAACTCTTGACAATTTCCCGCTAGCAGGAAAAGTTATGAAAGCTAGGGAACGAAAGCATACAACTGATAAAACAGAAGGGGACGTCTTAAGAAAGATTTAGACGATGTCCACCTGGCGAAAAATTGAAAGTATTGTTTTGTTTCTCTCTTACGTAGGCGAAAGACAGGATCATTATCGTCCCGGGTAAGATTTTACTTTCAAAGTACAATAGGTATTATTTTTGATACGACGAGTTAAAGAAAATTCTTAATAGGGGAGTGAGCAATGTCGCGATGTGTCATTATGTTAATCCGCCATACCTGTTAAAATGGAAGATAAATATTACCTGGGATAGAGGCAGCACTTATTGGAAGGAAACTAATAATGAATCGCGGTTTTGATGTTCCATTGTGTTACATTTTAGAAGAAAAGAAAATTTAATTTATAGTTTTTAAGTTGGAAAACCTGGTTAAACAAGAGTAATATGGCGCGGACTTATTTTCGTAGGTGGTGGGATAACCGAGCGCAATTTGGAACGGATATTACGGGGGTCTGGTGCCAAGGAGTTTCATTGTTCTGCACGACACTCTGTGCCTTCATTCATGGAGTACAAAAACACCAACACTTTCATGGGTGGAGTCCTTCGTCCGCCTGAATTTGTCAACAAAGTGACAAGCTACGAGGATGTGAAGAACTTTGTTTTTGTGGCAAGATCGGTGTTGACGTAGCAAAGAATTAACAAAAGAAATGATATAATTGAACTTAATATAGAGAAAAAATACGAAGTTCTTATTAATTGATTCCTCGCGGTTGAGCAAATTCCACAGAACTTATAGACGATACGTAGTATACCATAGTGATGTACGTTTCACCGTAGTCAAGCGAAAGAAATTTGCAAAAGCCAAGCTTTCACGTTCATAGTTTAAGGTATTACCAATATACTGATAGTTTACTAAACTTTTTGAAAGTTTACTAAAAAATTGTAAACGTTTGAAAACCGAAGTTATTGTTATTGTTGGCGCCATTTTCCAGCTTGATAATCTTTCAGCGTGAAGGGTTTTCAACGAAAAAAGCTTGAAACTTAAAGATATTTATGTTGAGAACTGGTTTATACATCTTTTCGCATGTTTACTCTTACTGGTAAATGGAATCCCAGCGATTAATACAAAAGTAACGCCTTCGACGTTTGACCGCGGTGGAGATGTATTAGTGACTAGTAACGAAACACAGTTGTCATGCGCTATCGTTTGTCAGTTTCAGACAGGTCAGTCATAGAAGGCTCTCTCCGCATTAATATAAATTTTAATTTCACCTCTTCAACCTCCAATCGAGAAGAGAAACTTTGAATAATACTAAAGAAATCTTTAGAGTCTAAGACTCTTTCCGTACAAGTATAACAAAGAACATTTTATTGTCAGCTCTTCAACCACCAGTCGCTGAGACGGAAACTTCGAATACTACAAAGTACGTCTTTTGAGTCTCAGGATATAACTTAATTTAATTCTGTTTAACTTTTGTTGTTCTCTCCAAAAGAAAACTGTGTCTATCATAAACAGGCTTTCAGTTTGAGGATCAGCTTGTTATTCAACATAACTCAGCCTGTAAGCTTGACCTTAAAAAGAAGGCTATTCCATCTTCACTGTTTCTGCTTATGTGATGAAGCTCTTTTAAGACACTACACGAACCGAACAGTTGGACTATAGTTCACATTCGCGACCACTCGCTAGCTTATGACACCCTTGCAAAGGGATAACCACGGTCTTCTTTTTCAAAATTTAATATATCATGCTAAATGTAGACTTTCTAAAAGACCTCAATTTTTTTTCCCTCGCGACCTCATTGAAGCTTGCTTTTAAGAACTCATGAGAGGTCGACTTGTAGCAAGTCTATCCTAAATGTTTAATTCATTAAAGTATTATTGTAAAGACTTTAGAAGCCTCTTGCTTGCGCTCCTCTATCTACGACCTCTATCTCCAGCTTCGCAATCGGTTTTTGCACTGTTCTCACATTCCTCGCTCGACTTTCACATATTTGCGAACAGCCCAATAGTGGCGCTCAATATTGCGATCTATAGGCGCTTTTCGGGTCACTGAAACGTGGATCACTGGCCAACCTTAGACATCTGCACCTGTGTTTTTCTTTCGTAATCTCCTGTAACATTATCAAGGATAAACACAGTGCTTTTCAAATTAATGCATCGGTAAATAGACGTCAGAGAAAGAAGGTCAGTAGGTTTACATGGTGCACTCATGATCAGATTAAAAATAACTGGTCGCAGCGTAGCCAGAAGTTATACTAACACTTGTATTGTCTATAGTGCGCGGTGTTAAAGTAAGCAAAATTCTATGCCGAGTCCGTATGATCAATAACCTCTGAACGCCTTTCTTCTCGCCCTTTCCTTTTCAAACCTTCAAACACATGCATGTATCGGTGGTTATTTTGGTTGCGGTATACGGCAGCAGTGTTGTTTTTGTTGACCGTATGCCAGTGCGGAAACTTGTTCCTTACGTCAATATTTGATCGACACATAAAGCCTAATCGCAATATATGGAGGATTTACAGCCACTAGTATTTGGACAGATCATTTTCTCTTCTATGATAAGATTATTAGATGCGAGAAATTCTAAGTGTGCTGTTCTTTACACCTTGACAACCTAAGACGCTCTTGTTATATTCCAGAGCTTTTGTTCTGACAACAGCTTAAAACACCTGCAAAAGGTTTGCTTTACGATCGCAAAGTTTAACGATATTTTCTAAGGAATGAAAATCCTTCTACTATGTGAAACGTGTCTGAGTCATGTAACAGTATCGCGTAAATCCCTGTGTATATAACGTAAATTCTATTTTTGAGTCCGAGTGTATTTTTATTCCACTAACTTTATTATAATTACAGTCTTTTTAGGCCATGAGAAAACCTAAAGCCTGGACCAAGCTCCAGTGTCATTCTTCAATCTGCAGTCCCTCTGTGTTGCTATCTATTTTCTTCCAATTAAATCTTCAAACTATTTTTTTTTAATTTCCTTTTTATTTTTACTGGAACCAGTAAAAGTGCTTCTTCGAATATTCTTCGTTCTTTGGCGTCTAACCTATTTAAGAACACTTCACTCTGTCAAAACAGTCAATTAACTAATTGATCCGCAGTACTTATAGGTTCTATAAGTGGAGCGATAAACGGCGTTATCAAAACTGCTTTTAGTCTTTTCACGAGTATTATTTGCAGATCTAAGCGTCTCGTTCTGGATTTTTTTAAGACATGCAGCCATCCTGTAGCATCTGTTTCGTTATACTGAATGACCTTCATAGCTCTCAAGATGTTCTGAAGAATTCAAAGTCATAAGTTTCACTTATTTCCTTCTCTCTGCACTACTAATACTGAGTAAAATCCAGGCGAGATGTTCTCACAATTATGCGTGATGAAGTGACTTTCAAAACTGCCTTTTTCAGTGTCGAGAGTGTAGTTTTAGATCATTACACTGTCATTAACAAAAATAAGTATTATGACCTAACAGGCCTTTTGAAAATTTCGATTTAACGTCTTGTTTAAGGTCTTGAAGGTCATTTTTCCTTTACGAGTCGAGCACACTTTGCAAGATGGAAAGATAAATAAATAACAATAATAATGATGATAAAAAATATAATTTTTATTTCTTGTTCGAATTATAGTTTCCGCTTCACTATGGTATATTCTGATCGCCATTCTCTTGTGCACCGAATTGTGAAATTCCTAGTGACGTCTATTAAGCTTTGGTAACAGACGTAAACGGATGGAACAATAGGATTACAACAATACCCGTTTACATGCAAATCGTCTCAATCAGTTCTGTTTATGCGGCCGACTAACTTCGTACTCTTATGAAAGTTTAATTTCGTTCTACGTTGATATCAGCATGTACTTAGCTAGCCGCATCACTGGACGTATCTCCGTGTGAAGCTGTGTGATAAATCCTATTTCCGACCCTTCACATTTTAATATCTGCACACGTGATTGCATTCTACAAGTGAAGAGGGAAGACGTTCATATCAATTTGTCTGTTTTGTACATCCTTGCGAAGAAAACAAAGACAGAGCTGGCTAATTAAGCAGTCAACATATGCTGTAAACCTCAAAACGTACCAACAGTGAACAACAAACGTTGCACTTTTAAGGGGGACTTTTCTCCATTTATAGCTATGACAAACGAAAGACTCCTTTGTGTTGAAGATGCAAGGTTTACAAGTTTTGCATTGCCACCGACTGATATAAAGAACTTGGATAATGGCATCGCGGATCAAAATCGATTGGTGCTGGACAACACACAAAAAGACAAATCTCCTTCAGCAGTACAGCGCATTTTAGGCTCTTTAAAATTGTCACCGAAAACCCGACGCGATTCACCAGTAAATGACAAGGACAAGCTGCAAGTGCCAAAAAAACCAAACGCTAATGGTGGGTCAACATGCGGTCACTTAACGCTTGAATACCGTAAACACGCAACAATATCGACGTCCAGTTCGGACTATCCCGAGACGGACTCCTTTTCGGATTCTACCTACTCGCAAAGCTCAGATGCATCGGTCAATTCAAATACGACCTCCACCGATTCAGACAACAATCGGATATTTCAGCAAGGTATTGCAGCCAAAGATCGGATTTCCCTGAAGCAAAAGAGTGATATTATAGACGTGGATGAGGGATTTTTAAGAAGAGTTTTGATGTTAATGAAAGTTGTTTTATATTTAAGGCACAGCTTTCCTCTTAATCTGCTGCGGAGAAGAAAGGTTTTTCCCGAGAGCAGGAAAAGAGAAATAAAATTTCCTGACAGTTTGAGTGTCAGTTCCTATGAATCAAGCGACTCGCAAGATTCGAGTGTTTTCAGCGGGAGGAGCCCGCGGGCGAGAAAACGCATATCTTTCAGTCCAATTACATTATTATTTTCCGCTATTACAGAAAAAGCATTCACTGAGGCCAAAGCTATTTTAGAAGAACAAGAGCTAGACATCAATTCGCAAACACCAAACGGACAATCGTTGCTTCATATTGCTGCTGCAAACGCAGATTTAAAATGTGTTCAACTTCTTCTCCAACACGGTGCTGACGTGAACGTGAAGGACACAAATGGTTGGAGCCCGCTACACGCGGCAGTGAGGCGAGGCAACTGGAAATGTGCTATTCTTTTGATTGAAGCTGGGGCAGATTTCGGAGACTATGCGCAAGCAAGAATTCAAGAATACAATCAAGTACTTCAAATGTCGACGACCTTTTACAGATCAGTGGAGATTTTTGTGTGATTTATGAATTTTTCCCTAATTGTACATATGTATTTCAAATTTATGCATTTTTAAAATTTTATATTTGCATTCTCGAGGATATATGATAAAGTTTCGTCAAAAGCCAGATGTGTATAATATTAATTAAAATTGTCCCTAATTTATCGAAGGAATATTAGATAATAAAAAATGCAGTTTTGTGCAACTGTTTTAATGTTTGCTGTGCATCACAGTTCACTTATCCGTACAAAGTTTTTACTTACATTTAGTAACTGTCTCTCTATATGTCAAACACTTTAGGTCGGTCAAGATCAAGGATAGTGACTTTTTGGTGTTCTCGTGAAAGTCATTAGAAACATGCAAAACATGAATGTCGCCTAAAGCCACCTCAGAGCCAGAGGTACAGAGGAGCGTGCTCTATTGAGGAGTAAATATTTACAATTTTTATGAACCTCAAACTGAGTAAAACAGATAGCCAACAGTAGATGAACGTGGATTATTGAAATATTTTCGCTGCTTGCAGCCGCCTTTTCGAATTCGAAAGAGAAAGGTAATGGGTTATATAAATGTGATATTGTTCATGTGGTCTTGAAGATACAATCAGATATTGAGATAGGTTAATGAGTTTATTCACCAAAACACACTGTCGTAATATGCAGCGATGCAGAGACTTTTCAAGCAACAAAGTGACTGATTGCTTCTTACACCGTCTAACAGCCATTGCTGGAAATTATTGAAATACCCAATTGGTGAGGAAAAAAAACCGTCAACTGATTCATCACCACGTTCAAAGAAACAGGAATCACATAACTGCAAGAATTAGCTCACGATTTTGCAAGTGCTTGAGTGGAAAGGAATTTGAAGAACGATAACGAAGCCCGTTCAGGCAAGGTCATAACCAAAGAGTTATGTAATTGGTTTTATGTGATTAACGAATAGACTCCAGTGGTATCTGTTTATGGTCATTAAAATAAGAGAATAAGAATAAGCGTTAATCATATAACATGTCTTAAAGTATGCTTTTCCACTTACAATTTTCAATCACGTGACTTCTAGTTTTAGTACTGCCTCATAACATCGGGAAACTCGTAAGCACGTGAAATTGTATTACATTATTGATAGACCCTACAAACATTTTACAAACATAGCGACCGCAACTGCGCGTTAGCTAGGATCACGATGTGCAATGAACCTGAAATGATTAACCCTGGTGCAAAATTTTAATTCTCGTTGTTGTCCCATCGCATCTCCCTCGGACGTAATTGGGAGAAGTTGTTAAAGTATCAGCTTAATTCATTCTTCTGTGATCAGGTCCTTAATTCTTGTGACCACTTTTTTCCCGCCTATAAAGTAGAGATATCACAAGACGAAATTTGATGCTGAACATTCTAATAAGGTCCTAAAGGGTTAAAGTTTTTAAGTTTGCAATTTACCGACTTCTTGTAAAAACATTTGATGCTTCTCAACTGGATTTATGTCACAACTCTCTCTCACCTAAGATCTTGATTTTATTTATTTATCTCTTTAAGAAGTCTTTTTTTGGAGCCTGTGTTTTTTCACCGGTGAGTGTGAACTTTGATAATACTAGCGTAGTTTACTCGAAAACGTTAGAGAATTTTAGTGTTACGGCCCTCGATTCACATGGTATTGTAATAAAACTCCCTACTTCTTAGACTCAAGATTAGTCCGAAGTGTGGAGCGTTTGCTTTCCGAAGAGGGTGTCATCATAAGATTGCACGAGTGTACAATGTCATTAGGAAGTAATAAAGGGGACTGAAGCAAAAAAAAATACAGATGATAGTTTGAATAGCATTTTATTGTTAATTTAACAACAAGAAGCTTACAATAAATTATAGTCGTTAAAACATCTGTGACAGATTACAGTATAAACTGACCATGGTCAGCNTGACCACTTTTTCCCCGCCTATAAAGTAGAGACATCACAAGACGAAATTTGATGCTGAACATTCTAATAAGGTCCTTAAGGGTTAAAATTTTTAAGTTTGCAATTTACCGACTTCTTGAAAAAACATTTGATGCTTCTCAACTGGATTTATGATTTTATTTATTTATCTCTTTAAGAAGTCTTTTTTTGGAGCCTGTTACGCCGCAAAATGTAATAATCGCCGCAAAATGTAATATTAACGCAAAATGTAATAAGAATCGCCGCAAAATGTAATACTAACGCAAAATGTAATAACATTGACGCAAAATGTAATAAAATTTTCAACGCAAAATGTAATAATCTTTCAACGCAAATTGTAATAACTTTTCTAACGCATAATGTAATAACGCAAAATGTAATAATTTCCGAAATAATGACGTGCATGCTATTTCAAAATCGGTATTGTGGCTCAGTAATCAGTAGCTGATCCAGATCTTCATGTGAATTATTATTATTATTATTATCACTATTATTATTATTATTATTATTATTATTATTATCAATATTGATATTAATAATAGTAATAATATTTATTTTCTTCTGCTTCTTCTTCTTCTTCGTCTTATCACTATTAATGAAATAACGGTTGAAACGTCGTGTTACTTCCGTGCTGAGCTAGTCTCTCTCGATCGCGGCCGTGTTTTGTCTCGTCACGCAACACTCTTCCCCGACAAAGGAGGAGGAGCATTGTGTGACGAGACAAAAATGGCTGCAAGAGCTTGCTGTACTGTACCACAACTGTAGCAACTGAGAGACTTGGTTTAATTTCAGGTGTTGAATTTAATTCAGTCAAATAAAATAGCTGTTGTCGAAAACAAGTAATAGAATCAACTTTCAAAGCGTAATTCAAATGCATTTAAAATATAAGATATCTGTCACACTTTTTTTCATGAGAACCAGACAACTTTGGCTGTAGCTTACTCTTAAGTTCTCATTTAATAGAGGCTGAATTGTTCTTAATGCTGTTTTTTAGGTCCAAGTTTCTTTTATGTTGAAGTTTCTAAGCTTTGCAAAGTCAAATCAGTTTGCCTTGTAAGGCAGTTGTCGTTTGCCCAGAACAGATAGCGCAAAATTGTTTTAGTTAGCCCAGTAACGCATTTTTGATTGCAGTAGAGCTAATCTGATGCACAAAAACATTGAATTTGCCTGGCAAGGCAGTTGTGATTAGAAGACAGGCCATCCTCTTTTTTTTCTCCGTGTAGCGTCGTCCGACCGACCCAAAGTTTTGGCATTTTCACAAAAAAAGTAACGACCTAGTTAAACCATTTTTCACTTGAAATAGTTCTATTAATCTGAAAAATGAGCATAGTAACAGCATAGAGAAAAACAGGAACAAAGACATAAACATTTTTTACAGTATATTGTGTATTTTGTTAATCCAAATATGTGAATGTTAACTTTTAACGTCGTCCTTGGGTACCAGGGCCTCCTATTCCGAGACTTCTTGTGATTTTGTTTTTAGGTTTTTTTTTTCAATCCGACCGACCGACTCAATATCAGGAAACGCATTCGACGCTAAACGAAACCTTGAATTTGCTCAGCAATGCAATCGCCATTGGCTTAGAGTTGACGGCGCCAAATCTTGAACTGGGAGATCCATAAAGAGTGCGCAATTTCGTCTTTTTAGGGCCGACCTTTTTTGACCACTTGAGGGGGGAGGGTGTATGGGTAATTTGGTTTGGGTTAGAATTTTTGGATAATTATGGGAAACTGTCTACATAAGCCTCCCCTAAGCCAGCATTAACACTTATTTCTCACTTAGGGCGAAATGTTGGCTTAGGACGGCTAGGTGGGCACCTTATTGGGACCTGTATTACGTTCAAATCAGCGGAAACAAACGTCCCATTCGGTTCCCTAAAGATGATTACATCTCCTCATTTCAACCGTTTCATTGTAATATTAGCAATAATAATAATAATAATAATTAATATTAATAGTAATATTAATATTATTAATAATGTTAATATTAATATTAATATCAATAATAATAATAGCTTATAATTTAATTGAAGATGTGAATTCGCTACTACCGATGACTGAGCAACAATACCGATTTTGAAATAGCATGCACGTCATTCGGAGATTATTACATTTTGCGTTATTACATTATGCGTTAGAAAAGTTATTACAATTTGCGTTGAAAGATTATTACATTTTGCGTTGAAAATTTTATTACATTTTGCGTCAATGTTATTACATTTTGCGTTAGTATTACATTTTGCGGCGATTCTTATTACATTTTGCGTTAATATTACATTTTGCGGCGATTATTACATTTTGCGGCGTAACAGAGCCTTTGTTATTCACCGGTGAGTGTGAACTTTGATAATTCTAGCGTAGTTTACTCGAAAACGAAAGAGAATTTTAGTGATACGGCCCTCGATTCTCATGATATTGTAATTAAACTCCCTACTTCCTAGACTCAAGATTAGTCCGAAGTGTGGAGGGCAATTGCTTTCCGAAGAGGGTGTCATCATAAGATTGCACAAGTGTACAATGTCATTAGGAAGTAATAAAGGCGACTGAAGCAAAAAAAATACAGATGATAGTTTGAATAGCATTTTATTGTTAATTTAACAACAAGAAGCTTACAATAAATTATAGTCGTTAAAACATCTGTGACAGATTACAGTATAAACTGACCATGGTCAGCTACAAACAATGATCTCAATATGGACTTTGTCGTTAAACTCAGATAACTAAGCTACTTCGTGCTATAAATGACTTCACAAAAATTGAAGTTACTATAATTTAGTCGACAAGGGCAAGATAAGCGGGAAAAAAAGCGGTCAAAAATAGTACAGTGAATCTACAGACTCATCAA